AGCCGACCATGGAGGGGGAAAGAAGCATGGGATTTTGCCACCGCCGTTTGCAACACCTTTGCAGAACTCCACCGCCGGCGTCTAGCGGGCGGCCGGCACACAGCACCGCGGTGGCCGACTTGTAACACGGCCTCGACTGGCCACGCCTCCGTCAAGCACGCAGCAACCCGACGGCTAAACCTCTCAACAATGCACATGGATGGGTGGCTTGACTTGGAGCGGCACTTGCGGCTCGCGGCAAATCCTGGACGCCGCTGCAAGTGAGAAGATGCGAGAAAGATTGAGAGGAAGAGACAAAACGGCGATCTTGGGGCCGCCGGACGCAATGCGTGGTTGATTCCAATCATTTCCCCATTTTGTAAGCACTTTTGAACATCAATTTTTCTTTTCGAGACATCCACAAATGTTTTTTCAGCACAAAACTTTGCATGACAATAAAACATTTAACAATGTTTATAAAAAAATTGAAACTTATTTCCATTTTTTTCAAAAACTGGGGTGCATTTCATAAGTTCACAATTTTAGAGATTTTACCAGCCCGTCAGGATAAGTCCTAGACTTGCCACTACTACTCACATTTTCCTCCGGCAATGTTCATTCTCAATCTCAGACGACAGATGCTCATAGATGCTCATTCATGGGGTGAGTAAGCTCGTTTGCATCTATACTGTGTTCAAAGAGTTCAAAATCTTATCATATAAATTGACTTGGTGTGTGGAGGGGTAGAGAGTGAGAGACGTGTCACAAAAATAGAAATAGGTTGGCATAACACATAACAGGCAACTGTAGGGACATACTTCCAAGTTTCAAAGATCCTAAAATCAGAACCAAAATTACTAACAGATATCCATCGCTCGATAGCCAAAATACAGAGATTGTTAAGTCTTCACTCCACTACAGAACCCCTGGATTACTCAAGATAACAGTAGTGCAATCATGCTTCGGTCTGCTCCCTCAAGCGACGGATCGTGCTCCTGACGGTGACTGCACTAGCAGTGCTGCAAAGACACATGGAGAAATTAGCATAAAGCGATAATGACAATGAAGAGGTCATCCAGAAGGAGCTCGGAACAGATGCCTACTTCATGGTATAGGCGCCGCCTGCCTTGACCTTGCCACAGTCCTTGCATCCCCAAATTCCAACAGCTTTCCTCTTCACAGCAAACTGGTTATGATTCACAAGCAGAAAGCGTAGTTTTAGACAACCAAATGCAAGTTTCCATATATTTTCAAAAAAGGAAGCATATAGAAAAACAAATATATGCTACAAATTACTAGCATAATAGAGTATGTAAGATATTAAATACAACTCCCTTTCCTGTACTCAGATTACTACAGTACAACAAGCCTTTTATGGTGATGACAACATGTACAATAAGATAAGATGACATTTTTGTAGGATGAAACTACAATTAGAATGGCAACAATAAAACCAAATTGGACAGCTTATGTTGCAAATAGAAGATAAAACAGCTAGCATAAGATATTACAGGGTCATGACATAACAAGATGAGAGGAATTTACGGTTGCCATAGCAAAACTATCACTGGGAGAGAAAAAACATAGAAAGCAATACAAAATATCACATCAAGCATCAATAAATAGTCCATCCATCCAGAAATACATGTAGGAGAAATGGATGTATCATATTTTAGTTCTAGATACATCTGTTTATATCCATTTATGCGACAAGTAATTCCAGACTGAGGGAGTATGAAGGTGCATGGAAAGGTAGTCAGTGTACAGTACTACCACAGTAAACAACAACAGTTCATACATAGCAGATAGCATTCACACAATGCACTGTGTTACCAAGTAGGTGACAGAAGACATACCTTCCCACAGAATTCACAGAAGTACTTGGAGTGCTGAGACACCTCCATCTTCTTGATCTGCTTACGCAAACTGGCACCGTACCTGGTACCTATGACATTGCAAGGGCTAATTTCAGGACAAAGCAGAAGATCATGAACAGGTAAATGAGCCAAATGTTACAAGCACATACCATACTTCCCGACAATTCCGGCCTTCTTGGTGCGCTTTGTCTGAGTAGACATTGCAAAACAACAGATTACACAGCAGCATAAGAAAAATGAACATTATGATGTAATCAGTGAAGCAACTGCTAATGCACATTTAACATAAATTTGGGCAATTGATTAACTTCGGGTGTGGAAAGCTTAACATCAACGAAACACTAAATATCAAAAAAATTCTGATACTACATCCAGTTTGTATCCTTCCCCAGAGAAAATATCGCATGCTCCACTCAAACAACTTGCGCAGATCGCGTTTCCCCTGCTATTCTACATTACTAGCCACAAGCCCACAACACCTTGTCAGCGCAGATTTTGTACACAAGGGACTGGTTGCGTACCTGGGAAGTATCCTAATACACCTAGGTTCTAAGCGAATTGAAGAACAAATCGATTGGCCCAGAGGAAATTTGCATAAAAAGCACATAGCTCAATTCAGGGCTAACACGAGTGGTCGAAAGGGAGAGCTCGACAGAGCTCAACATATCAGTAACACACAATCGAATTGCTGCACCATGATTTCGGACCTAGAAACACTACGATCTCGCAGGATGGATCCTAAGAAATACCGCACCCAAGACGGAAACGTGATTCACTATCGCAAGAGCTTGCCGAGAAAGGAAGTACGAGAGGAACGTACCATCTCGGCGGCGGGTAGCAGGAGGCGGCTGCTGCAGCGTAGGCGGAGAGATGGCGGCGCGCGTGCGAGGGCTCGGGCAGGGGGCGGTAGAGGGGAGCTTATATATCGGAGGCTAGGGTTTCCGTGGAAGTGGGCCTTCGACGGTTTATGTGGGCTCGGTCAAGTGGATAGATAGGTGGGCTTATCACTACTCTAAGTATGTACACAGAGTGGGCTTTCTTCACTCGGTTAGAAAATTTAGTTTTTCTTTTAGCGGGAAAGATTTTTTTCCTTAGAAAAACAAAATTATATGTTAACATATTCGAACCCGAGCCCTTAAAAATAATCAAAGTCCATATAAATGTTGATTCCATAGCTTGGCATGCACTTTGTTTTGCATGTGTATCTTTGTTTGTCGTAGATGTGATATCAATTAAATGTGAGCTCTTTCAAATACGCTAAACGCGCTACAAATAAAATACGTTCTTCCAGTTGCTACCCCTTGTCCTGCAGCCATGAGGAAATGACCTCGATAGAATGTGGGGAGCTCGACCATGACAAAAAGCTAATCAGATGCATAAAGAATTGTGGCATGAGTAGAGTCAAGTATTTTCAAATACGCTAACCAGGCTACAAATCAAATACATTCTTTGAGTTGCCACCCCCTTGTCCAGCGGCCACGAGGAAATGACCTCATGGTTCCACTTGTTAACATACTCGCAATATGCCAATGAAACGCCATAGCACCACCTGAAATGAGGTGGAATAACAAGCACGAGGCTAAAAGTGGTACCCTGATCAACGGGTGACCTAATAAGGGTTCATAGTATTTTACACTGAAGCACGACAAATATTTATATTGGAAGATACAAAAAAAACCATCATAGCTCGCATTATACCAAATACAAGAGTAAATCAATGCTTCATCTACTTCTCGAGTCGAAAGACTTCACACACCGACGTGCCGCTTTGAGCATAGGAGCCAGCTCTTCTCATCATTCCCATGAGTCCAAGTCTTGCTTCTTGAATCATAATGGTATCAACCCCTGACATAGTTATATTTCAATGCGTGTTTTAATTGCTTCAAGGGGTTTGGGGCACTCTCCGCTGCAAATGCAGCGTCCTGCTTGTCCCACTCAGACTTCTTACCTACGAAACCAAAATTTTCGAGGGTGTGGTTACTTGATGTCTTTGATCAAATGTCCTTCCCCCAAACTTTCGGGACTCGGCTAGAGGGCCATGGTTACATGTCTTGGAAACGTTCCAATCCTCTTCAATAATCATAAGCCACTCTGTGTGGACCTCGGAGAACTCTTTGTCAAGGAACTTATTTCTGCACTTGGATTTTCAAGCACTCAAGTTCTTGGAGAACTTGGTGATCATGTGGTTGTTTACCAGATTCTTTGGATAAGATAAGTTGTCATACTTGTTAGGGAACTTGAATCTTGTGTGCAACCTTG